ACCTGAAAGTAGATACTAATATTAGCCCCTGTTTGGAGGGCATTTTTTTCCCATTTCTAGAAATTTTCTTACCGTTAGACATGGGGCCAGCCGAAATATTTGACCAACTTGTGAGAGGGAGGGGCCCACTAATTTGAAAAAAATGGTCAAATTCTTCGGTTCTTCAGTTCTCGGTTATTCGGGTTTTTAAGTTAAGAAAACCCGCTCGGTTCGGTTCCGGTTCGATTCAGTTTGGTTCGGACATTTTGCCCAGCCCTAGTGGATCCCATTGAGTTTCAACGTGTATTGTGGTAGAACCGCAGACAAGATAATGTTATCCGTACACGACTTTTAATGTGCTTATTTTTTCCATTTTATTGGCATCCTCATAGATAAGATAAAAGCTTCGAGTGATTAAGGTGTCGAGTATCAATATTCGTGATAAATCAAAATTCATCGTATGCCCCGAATATTCTTTTTTAATTTATTCATTTTACATCTCTATCTTTATTTTAATCGAATTGGGCCATGCGCTACGGCCTAAACCACGACTGGCATGTTTNGCCTTTTGGCCTAGTACATGAGTAATGCATTTATACTCATTATTATCATACAACAACATCCATATTGGGTATGAAATCTGCATTTGAAAGGCTAAGCAACAAGCCTAAAATGCTCATTGCCGGCCTCACCATATGCCAAGTCTTATGGCTGCCTACGAGGTATGAAATGCACTAATATTTATTTTATTTCTAAGAAACATCGACCCATCCGAAAATAAGCAATTTTGAGTCTCTATATCATGTTGCTTTCTCTAAATTGTCTCCTTGTATATTGGCATGAAGGTTGAGAAGGAGAGAGGACAAATTGCTACCGGCATTGAGAGCTACATGAAGGAAAATGTAACGACTAAAGAAGAGGCGATCGATAAGTTTTTTGAAATTGCTACAAATTCATGGAATGATATTAATGAAGAGTGTCTTAGACAAACTTCCTTTTCAAGAAATTTTTTAATGTGGATTCTCAACCTTGAATGCATCATAATTGTGGCTTGTAAAAACAACGAAGATGGATACGCTCAACTAGACAAAGTTCTAAAACCTCACACCATTTCTTTGTTTGTGGATCCCATTGAGTTTCAACGTGTATTGTGGTAGAACCGCAGACGAGATAATGTTATCCGTACACGACTTTTAATGTGCTTATTTTTTCCATTTTATTGGCATCCTCGTAGATAAGATAAAAGCTTCAAGTGATTAAGGTGTCGAGTATCAACATTCGTGATAAATCAAAATTCATTGTATGCCCCGAATATTCTTTTTTAATTCATTTTACATCTCTATCTTTATTTTAATCGAATTGGACCATGCTGGCCTAAACCACGACTGGCATGTTT